AGACAGAGTCTCATTCTGTTGCCCAGGCTGGAGTGCAGTGGTGCAATCTCAGCTCACCACAACCTCTGCCTCCAGAGTTCAAGCGACTCTCCTACCTCAGCCTCCTGAGTAGCTGGGAGTACAGGCATGCACCAGCACGCCTGGCTAATTTTTGTGTTTTTAGTAGAGACAGGGTCTCACCATGTTGGCCAAGCTGGTCTCAAACTCCTGACCTCAAATGATCCACCCACCTTGGCCTTCTAAAGTGCTGGGATTACAGGTATGAGCCACTGCACCTGGCCAATATATAATTTTTGTTTCTAGCATCAAACGTGAGTTAGAAAATTCAAGAGGAGAAGGGAAGTTTATTGTGTTTACCCGCATTTTTGCTTTCCATGTTCTTTCCTTCTTCCTGATATTCCAAGATTTCTTCTTTTATTATTTGTTTCCTGGTTCAGGAACTTTAGGTTATTTTTTTTAGGTCTTCTGGCAATAAATTCTTTTAGTTTTTTTCCCCCATCTGAGAATATATTGACTTCTTCTTCATTTCTGAGGCATGTTTTTGCTGGTTATAGGACCTGAGAACAGTTGTTTTCTTTCAGTAGCTGAAGAATATGCCACTTCCTTCTGGCCTCCATGGTTTCAGACAAAAAATCACCTGTCATTTGAATTTTCCACTTAGTAGGTAAGATGTCATTTCTGTCTTGCTGTTTCCAAGGTATTTTTTTGTTGTTGTTTTTAGTTTTCGAAGTTTGACTTTGTGTATGTCTTGGTGTGGATTTCTTTAGGTTAACCTGTTTGGAATTTGCTCAGCTTATTGAATCTGTAAGTTTATATCTTTTGTCAAATTTGTAGAACTTTTTTGCCAATATTTCTTCGAGTACGCTTTCAGCCTTGCCTTCTTTCTCCTCTCCTCTCCTTCAGGGACTTTGCTCAGCACACGAATATGAGATCTTTTGTTACAGTTTCACAGGTCCCTGAGACTATTTATTTGTGTTTTTTTCTCTTTCTTTTCAGGATTGGATAATTTCTATTGTTCTAACTTCAGTTTGCTTATTATTTTCCCTGCTTCATCTATTCTGTCATTGGGCCCACCAAGAGAGTTTTAAAGTTTTGGTTACTGTATTTCTCAGTTCTAAAATTTTCATTTGATTCCTTTTTATGTCTTCTATTTCTTTCCTGAAATGTTCTTTTTTTTTTTTTTTTTTAACTGATGCTCTCTTTTCATTTGTTTCAAGTGTGTTCATAATTGTTTGCTGACACATTTTTATGAGTACTTTAAAATCTTTGTCAGATAATTCCAGTATCTTTGTCATCTCTCTGCTGGTGTCTATTGATTATCTTTTTAAAAATTTATTTTGAGATCTCCCTTGTTCTTGGTGTTTTTTTTAATTGAAATCTGGACATTTGGGGGTACTATAAGACTCTGGAGCTTATTTAACCTTCATTTTTTCTGGCTTCCTCTGACACTACTCTGGCAGGGGAAGGAGAGGGGACCACCTCATTAGTGCCAAGTGAGGGTATCCAGGTTTACCAAGTAACTTTGGTGGCTGCTGAGGTAGGGAATCCTCTTTGCCACTGGGTGTAGGTGAGAATTCTGGTTCCACATTAGGCCTCCATTGAGATCTCCCTGGCTGGCTAGCACAGGGGTGCCCCATTATGTACCCTTACCAGAGTGCTGCTCCTTATGTATCTGCACTGCTCCTTATATACTCCCATTGTTATTATGGCAGAGATGTAGAAGGACCTCATTATGACTGGGTAGTGGTAAAACTCCTGACTCTCCACATTAGGCCTCCACTGACACCATCCCACTGGGGATGGAGAAGGGTGCCTTATTACTGTTAGATGAGGATGGGAGTCCAGCTCCCCAACTGATCTCTCCGACACTACATGGGAGAGGCCTCATTACCTCCACGCAATAAAAGTCTAGGCTCTCTACTCAGCCTTTTCTGACATCACGCTGAGACGGAGGTTTGGGCTCCTTTCTAAAGCCGTGCAAAGGTGGAAGTCTAGGCTCCTCACTCAGCCTTTGCTGGCATAGATAGGAATGGGACTAGAGATTTTTCTGTGGTATTTGTCTAGAGTAGAGCAGCTATTATCTCAAAGGTCTTTTGTCTTGCTACAGTGTTGCTTTCCTGGTCCTTTCTCTCTCTCTCTCTCTCTCTCTCTCTCTCTCTCAACAGGGTTGTCCAGGCTAGTCTTGAATCCCTGGCCTCAAGCAATCCTCCCGCCATGGCCCCCCAAAGTGCTGGGATTATAGGTGTTGAGTTGTCAGGCCCAGCCTGGTCCTTTCTTTTGGCTAGAGAGAGCAAGTTTTTGTTGGGACTTTTTTGTTTGTTTGTTTCTTTACACTCATTGGCATTTTCAGGTTGCTACCTTCTTCCACTACAAGTCTGAGTTGTATGAGGGGAAAAGAAAAAAACCAGGGAGCTTACCAACATATTGTTTCTTGGATTCTGAGGTCCCAAGTCAGTCTACCTTCTTATCTCACCTTTTAGAGTTTCCCTGTGTTTGATTTATGTATGCTGGACAGGATTTTCTTTTGTACTTAGCGGGAAGAATAGGGAAAGTACATCTATTCTGCCTTCCTACATGTGGAAGTCTTCACAGAGCATTTTAATACAGACAATAACAGTATCTACCTCATAGATACCTCAAAGGAGTATTGTGACAGTTAAGTAAGTTAATTGGACCACTGGAATAGTATCTGGCATATAGTAAGCCTTATACAAGTGTTAGTTCTTCTTATTATTAGATAAACAAAATAATGTGGTTATTGAGGGAACAGATTCTGGAACCGGACTCCCAAGGTTTAAATCTCAGCTCTTACACTTAACAATTGTGCTATTTTACTCAATTTCTCTATGCCTAAACTTTCTCACTGTAAATGGTGATAATAATAATTTCTTCTTCACAGGGTTATGGTGAGAATTAAAATAATTAATATATCTAAAGCACTTAGAAGATTGCCTGACATAGAATAAGTTCTATTTAAGTATTAGATATTATTATTTTAATCTAAAGTACTTTATTTTCTCCCCAAAATACCACCATGAAGTAAGTAGCAAGGCATCACTATCTTCATTTACAAGCAGAGAAATAGAAGTTCTGAGGCACACAGTGCCCTGCCCAAGGTTATAGAGATAGTAAGTGGCAAAGTCAGCCTCAGTCACGGTTCTTCTGACTTCAAGTCAACATCGAACTGAGGTTTGGCAAAAGTGCAGGGTGAAAATTGGTGTTCATGCTTAGAGAACAAGATGGGGGCTTAGATGGCAAACAGGCAAGAACAGAAATCATTCCTAAGACAGCACGACAGAAAGGAGACCTGAAGAAGATGGAGAGAGTGTGGCAAGAATGTGGTTGTTGGGCTAAGTCTGAGTGTTAAAGAAATCACCACTGCACTCCAGCCTGGGCGACAGAGCGAGACTCCATCTCAAAAAAAACAAAAACAAAAAACAAATCACCATGATTGTTCCCAATGAGAGACTTCTGCCCCAAAATGCATTGCATCAGTGCCTCCTATTCACAGGGTAGTGAAGGGTGTCCTAGTAGCTTGCCACTTCCCCCCCACCCACCCCCTGGGTGGTTTTTCTGCTGTTAATAGCTCAAGAGCCTAGTTCCAAGAAAAAGCAGAGGCTGCACCTTCTTTGGTTCAGAATGCCCCCAAGTCTGACTCTCAATAGAGAGGCTTCCTCCCTAAGATATTCCTGCTGTTGCCTCCTACACCCTGCCAGCTTTCTGCACACTTCTGAGTCTGTCCAAGTTCAGCATGTACTGCAGGGTTACATCAAGTGCCACCAAGCCTTCCCTGAGACACCAGCCCAGACTGAACTTGACCCTCCCTCAATCCTGAGCATTAACCATTTCTACCATGTTGAAAGATGTGTCTAATCCATTAGGCACCATATAATATCTAATTTTATGTATCTCCTGATATGTTTCATATGTGTAAGTTCTGTATTACCAGCAAGACCATGGTTCTTAAGGCAAGGTTTGAGTTATACAGTTTTTTGGGGCTGGAATAACAGCATTTGACAGAACATGATACTACAGTATGTAGTGCATCAGTTAATCCTTGTTAACTCTCAAACATAGGGTCACAGCTGAGCTGCTATTATGTGGGATATATAGGGCCCCTGGAAAATTGTTTGTTATTTAAGTTTTATTTCATAATTAATAAACTTAATTGTACAATCCAGCTAGATGTGAAGAGGAATAAGAAAAATATAGAACCCAAAGAACTGCAGTGAGAGCACAAAGATTATAGGATATTTCAAGTAAATGGGGTGTAAGGGTGCTTTCCTGAGCTACAGAAAAAAATGGTCTGGTGGTTAAGATAAAACAAGTCAAATTTACTAGCATTTTCCACAAATGGCAGTGGTGATATTCTTGCTGATCTTGCCATTCCTGGATCCAAAGTGCTCCATGGTTTCCACAATATTCATGCCCTCTTTTATCTTCCCAAAGACAACAGGCTTGCTATGTAACCACTCAGTCTTGGCAGTGCAGATGAAAAACTGGGAACTGTTTGTGTTGAGTCCTGCATTTACCATGAACATCACGCCAGGACCTGTATGCTTCAGCATGAGATTCTCATCATCAAGTTTCTCTCTGTAGATAAGCTTATCACCAACGCCATAATGGCATGAAGTCACTACCCTAGCACATAAGGCCTGGAATAATTCTGTAAAAGCAAGAACCCATATAACCAAATCCTCTCTTGCCAGCTCTCAGGCACAAAAATTTCTGCTGTCTTTGGAACTTTGTCTGCAAACACCTCAAAGAAGACACAGCCCAAGTCAATGATGGCATCAAAAAACACAGTGGGATTGACCATGACTGGTGCCAGTGGCTCTAGGAGGTACCCATCTGCAAAGCAAGGAAAATATATGTATACATTTTAAGAAGCCTTGTCTAACTAAACACTTTTATTGAAAATGTTTTACAAATTGTGTGGGCTCCTGGAAATCAATAAAAATTCAGAATAATGGGTAGAAAGGAGTAGAAGAGATACTTACAAATTTACTTATTGTCAAATCAGGGCAAATATCCAGACATCATCTCTTCTTATTTTGGTCTAGGAATCATCTTTTCATCTTCTTTATTGTCACAGATGCCATTCCTGGATAACGATAATTTCACATTTCCCACCATGGTAAAAAGGCAGCGATGCCTTTTTTCATATATCTGTTGGCTGCACAAATGTCTTCTTTTGAGAAGTGTCTGTTCATATCCTTTGCCCAATTTTTGATAGGGTTGTTTGATTTTTTTCTTGTAAATTTGTTTAAGTTCTTTGTAGATTCTGGATGTTAGCCCTTTGTCAGATGGGTAGATGGCAAAAATTTTTTCCCATTCTGTAGGTTGCTTGTTCACTCTGGTCATTAGAGAAATGCAAATCAAAACCACAATGAGATACCATTTCACACCAGTTAGAATGGCGATCATTAAAAAGTCAGGAAACAACAGGTGCTGGAGAGGATGTAGAGAAATAGGAACACTTTTTCACTGTTGGTGGGACTGTAAACTAGTTCAACCATTGTGGAAGACAGTGTGGTGATTCCTCAAGGATCTAGAACTAGAAATACCATTTGACCCAGCCATCCCATTACTGGGTATATACCCAAAGGATTATAAATCATGCTGCTATAAAGACACATGCACATGTATGTTTATTGCGGCACTATTCACAGTAGCAAAGACTTGGAACCAACCCAAATGTCCATCAATGATAGACTGAATTAAGAAAATGTGGCACATATACACCATGGAATACTATGCAGCCATAAAAAAGGATGAGTTCATATCCTTTGTAGGGACATGGATGAAGCTGGAAACCATCACTCTGAGCAAACTATCGCAAGGACAGAAAACCAAACACCATATGTTCTCACTCATAAGTGGGATTTGAACAATGAGAACACTTGGACACGGGTGGGGAACATCACACATTGGGGCCTGTCGTGGGGTGGGGGGAGCAGGCAGGGATAGCATTAGGAGATATACCTAATGTAAATGATGAGTTAATGGGTGCAGCACACCAACATGGCAGATGTATACATATGTAACAAACCTGCACGTTGTGCACATGTGCCCTAGAACTTAAAGTATAATAATAAAAAAATGAAAAAAACAAATAGAAGCTTAAGCAAACTTCATGAAAGCTATTGCTTATCTGAAGAATATAATTACGGGATGCTATGATTTGAATAACTGGCTTGAAAAAGAATCCATTAATACTCTCTTCACAATTCTTATTATTCACAGTGGACTAGAATCTTCAATAACCATTGAAGGACAAAATAAGACTTTTTCCATCACCAGTAGATATAATGTCATCTGTATCACCATGTTTTCAAATTTCCGTCGGTAGACTACAATATTCTCTTTATCATAGCAGATCATATTACCTAAGGAATTCTTTTTTCAGGGTCTGTAATTCTACATATCTCGATGAGAGATAATTTTGATAGCTTATTTATATGGATGCTCCTATCAAATAATATGGATCTACATCAAAGAATAATGGATGTACCAGGAGATATAATGTATGTGATAGACTGACAGTTAAACTGGAAATATATGACTTTTTCTCTGTACCTTTAACTAACTGTGAATAAGAATGTCTACTGATTCAGCTATAATTTTGTTATAAGGACTTCATCATGTGATTATAAACCAAGGGAAAAGAGTGAGTATAGGGAAAGTACAATAGTTTTGTGGGTTTGTAGCATATGTAAAAGCAAAATGTATGACAGCCATAACCCTAGTACACCAGTTGGGACACCACACAGTGAAGAGGTAGAATACTCCTTGAATCTAGACTGTGATTAGTTTAAGATGTTTGTTGAAAATCTTGATTGTGGTGGCAGTTATATGACTGTATGCATTTGTCTAAACTGATAAAGTTGTACACTTAAAAGAATTAATCTTACCAAATATATATTATACCCCCCCAAAAAAAAGGTAGCAGTACCATTATGACTCACAATGTCATGACTCTTGGGAACCTGTTTATATTAGAACCATACAGACCTGCTTGTCTCTGCAGTTCCCTAAGTCCATTTATTTAATGCTGGTTACATCATTACACATGTCACTGGATCATCTACTGTGTGGCCTGTTTCCAATAACTCTCTCCAAGGTAATTATGGAGATTCATTGATGATGACCACAAATGCAAGTCTCACTCAGAGAATTATGGAAAATGTGAACAATAACCCATTTTGAAGTCCTTTAGTTTACAGTTTAAAATTGTGTAGCATAAAGGTAGAAGAGCATGTTTTCCAACTCTATCTTCTCTTGAACTCTTTGGGCTGAATGTGATCTCCTCTGATCCTGACTACCCTCCTGTCTTCCACATACCACCACTAGAATCACTTACCAAAAAAAGTTATCTTTTTTTTCATGTTAAAAAGTGTTCAAGAGAAATGAGTTTTTCTTTTTCTTTCTTTCTTTCTTTTTTTGATGGAGTCTAGGTCTGTTGCCCAGGCTGGAGTGCAGTGGTACAATCTTGGCTCACTGCAACCTCCACCTCCCAGGTTCAAGTGATTCTCCTGCCTCAGCCTCCCGAGTAGCTAGGACTATAGGAACGTGCCACCACACCTGGCTAGTTTTTTTTGTATTTTTAGTAGAGACGGGTTTTCACCATGTTAGCCAGGATAGTCTTGATCTCCTGACCTCGTGATTCACCCACCTCAGCCTCCTAAAGTGCTGGGACTACAGGCCTGAGCCACCACGCCTACCCAAGTTTTTCTTTCTTTTCTTGTGTGGCAACTTTCCGTTATGCCTGGCATTCCGAGTCGTGCATGTGTGCAAGGTTTTGCAAAATCTGAGAGGTAGAGAAGAGGCCAAAAGATGAGGTGTGAGGGACATTTCACAAGTTATGAAAATAAAAATTCAAAAGGTATCACTAAAACTATCCTACTAAATTATATTATTGATAGCATCCATTAAAATAGGCTATTATCAAAAAGACAAACAACAAATGCTGGTTAGGATGCAGATAAAGGAGAACACTAGTACACTACCGGGGGGAATGGAAACTGGTACAGCCACTATGGAAAACAGTATGGATGTTCCTCTAAAAACTAAAGATAGATGTACCATACAATCCAGCAATCCCAATAGTCACAATACGGAATCAGCCTAAGTGTCCATCAATGAATGGATAAAAAAAATGTTGTGTACATATACACAATGGAATACTCTTCAGCCATCAAAAGAATGAAGTTCTGTCATTTGCAGTAACATAGATGGAACTGGAAGATATTATGTTAAGTGAAATAAACCAGGCACAGAGACTAATTCAGAATAATGGGTAGAGGAAGTGGAAATATTGCCTCATATGTGGTAGCTAAAAATGTTGAGCTCATGGAGGTAGAGAATAGAATAATAGTTACTAGAGGCTGGGAAGGGTTGGGGATGGGAAATAAAGAGAGGTTGGTTAAAGCTGCAAAAATATAATTAGAAGGAATAAGTTCTAGTGTTCCATAGCATAGTAGGGTGACTATAATTAACAATAATTTATTGTATATTTCAAAATAGCTAAAAGAGAATATTTGGAATGTTCCCAACATAAAAAGAAATAAATGTTTGAGGTGATGAATCTCCCAATTACCCTGATTTGACCATTACACATTGTATGCATGTTTAATACATATCACATGTATCCCATACATATGTACAATTATCATGTATCAATACAAATTTTATTAAACTATCATTCATAGCATCCATTATTTTCTTTCTTTCTTTCTTTTTTTTTTTTTTTTTTTGAGATGGAGTCTTGCTCTTGTTGCCCAGGCTGGAGTACAATGGCACGATCTCGGTTCACTGCAACCTCCGCCTCCTGGGTTCAAGCGATTCTCTTGCCTCAGCTCCTGAGTAGCTGGGATTACAGGCGCCCACCACCATACTTGACTAACTTTTGTATTTTTAGTAGAGACGGAGTTTCACCATATTGGCCATGGTGATCTCGAACTCCTGACCTCGTGATCTGCCCGCCTCAGCCTCCTAAAGTGCTGGGATCACAGGCATTAGCCACTGTGCCTGGCAGCATCCATTCTTTTCTTTTCTTTTTTTCCCCCAAAAGCGATCATACTCCTAGAAATGGAGAGGCCATTCTGGGCAGGTCTCTTGTAATTAGGAAAGCCTTCCTCTGCCTCCCAGAAAACAGGCCAACCACACACTGGACCTGTGTGATTAAACGGAGCTGAGAGGCCTATTTTATGATTTTAAAACTTGTTAAGTTTCTTTAGTCACCATTAATCTCTGCCACAATCACATGTATCGCTCAGGCCACCACTACCAACATTACTTCTTAGTTTCGTTCAAAGGAATGTTGTCAAATATGTGGATTTCTTCTACCCTGAAATCCAGATAAAGAATTTTGATGAATACAAAATATGGAATTAGTTTTTTAGCTGAAAAACAATTGCTCAAGATCTTGGTTGGCCTGGAAGGAGAATTTATTGACATTTGCCTTTGTTTTTCTTTCTAACTAGAGTGTGCTGGGCTTCTCCCCTCCCAACTTAGAAAACAGATGGCAGTTCAGGAACAGTTTTTGTTTTGATTTTTTTTTGTTTGAGACGGAGTCTTACTCAGTCGCGCAGGTTGGGGTGCAGTGGCGCGATCTCACCTCACTGCAAGCTCCGCCTGCTGGGTTCACGCCATTCTCCTGCCTCAGCCTCCGGAGTAGCTGGGACTACAGGCGCCGCCACTACGCCGGGCTAATTTTTTGTATTTTTGGTAGAGACGGGGTTTCACCGTGTTAGCCAGGGTGGTCTCCACCTCCTGACTTCGTGATCCGCCTGCCTCGGCCTCCCAAAGTTCTGGGATTACAGGCGTGAGCCACCGCGCCCGGCCAGGAACAGTTTTTAATAATCTAACTTCACAATAGACAGATCTGATGGGTATTAATATAAGAGAAATAAACTATTATAAGCTAATGCTCACTGTGAGCTCTGTGCTGTGCTAGGTAGTTCTCCCCTGTTATAGCATTTACTTAACTGCACAACTAATGTTTACTCAGTGTTTGGTACTTCTTTTAAATGCAGCTTAGAATAATACAGAGGTTGTCAAATGTCCGTGGACTTTGGAATTACTTGGAGAGAATGTGACAAATGTTTCACCACCCCCAGAGTTGCTGATTCAGCTGATGGGGATGAGGGTTGAGCACCTGCATTCCTAACACATTCTCAGGTGATGTTGATGCTGCTGGTCTGGGGACCACACTTTGAGAACTGGAATTG